GGCCTGTCGCCGCCGAGGTCTGATGCAGCGTCGACGCGGGCGTCGTGGAGCCGCCTACCTTCGGCGCCCCTTCGCGCCCCTGGCGGCGCCTGCTGAGCCCCCTTTCAGAACTGGCCCCGGCGGGCAAGGCAGATCTGCGCGCGCGCGCTGGCCGCCAATATCGGAAGGTATCACATGCGCAACTCAGAGGAAGAGCGCGCGTGCGTTTCACGCCCATCAAGGAGGTTTGGCGCCCGGATGGGGAGCGTGGGGCGCGCTGTCCTTCGTCGCAGATTACGCCCGCCAGCGAATGCATCGCGCGCGGCGCTCTCCAGGAGTAGGCGCGCAGCGCCGCGCCGCGGCGGCCTGGAGGTCAGGCGCGCGCCGAGCGGATCGCACGGGCCCCCTGCCCCGTCGCGTCGCTTAGAACATTTGTTGCCCAATCTGTCAGCAAACGTTCGAGGCTGATGGCGAGTTGCGAGTGCATCTCTGCAACCATCTCCTTCAAGGCGCGCTAGGCGACCGCGGGCCTCCCGCGCCGCAGCCGAGACCAGTCGCCCTGCCGACCGACGGCGCCGACGGGCCCGCCGGCGGCGGCGCGACGGGCCGAGCGGAGGGCCCCAGCTGTCTTTTTCAACGACGCCTGCCAGCGGCGGCCGGGCCGCCTGGCGCCGTCGGTCCGACCGTCGCGAAGCTGGCTCCTGGATGTGTCCTTGACTGGCCCGGCGGGAAATATCGACCGCATGGAATTCACCCTCGCGCGTGTCCGCCGCCGACGGGGAGCAGCCCGCAAACTTAAGCCGCCCCCCGAAATGCCCCAGGAGGGAGGGGCCAGAACACGAGACAGGCTCGCGAGCTAAACGGGGCCATCGTCACCGCGGCGAAGGTGGAGGCCCAGGGTGACCTCGCAGATGCCATCAAAAAGGATAACAAAGCGCTGCCACCTCAGTTCGCCAAGAAGGAGGATCACATGGTGGAGGCCCCCCCTGCTCCAGGGGCCGCGATGGCCATGGCCGAGAAACTCGTGACCCTGGACATCGGGGCGGAAGGGAAGGGGGTCCTGGTCAAGTCGATCCAGCGGCTCAGCCAGTTTGACTCCCACGAAGTTCAGGGCTCCTTGCCGATCTGCAGAGTCGAAAAAAAAGGTTTCAAGAGCGGCGCGGCCAAGATCCACTTCAACTGCGGGGCCGGCAGATCCGTGAAACCACGGCGGCCGCACTTGACAGCGCCAAGCAGCCAGCATGGGCAGGCTTTGTCCGAGCAGGATTCATCGCGGACGAAGTGGTTCAATGGATTGACCGAGCCAGACGTGGGGCCAGGCGCCATTGGGACTGATGACGCAGCAGTGGAAACTGATGGCCAGTCGACGCGGCGCCTCAAGGCCACGCCTATGGGGGACTGATGTTCCCACGTTGGGAATGATGGAAATTCATGGTCGGTCGACGCGCACATGGCCAGCATGTGCCCCACCGCAGATGACCCCCCCGTAATCCGCGAGCTCGCTCTCCGCTTCCCCGCCTCTTCGGGGCACCGCAGACGAGACGGCGGCCCCGCCGCGCGCGACCCGCGCGATTTCCGAGACTCGCCCCGCCCACGCACCCAAGAATTGTTCTCGATATTCTCTCGAGAAGCGTGTCGGCCCCGCCTGGGCCCAGGAGACCACGCGCGGCGGGCTACCCCCCCCCTCCGAGCTCTGCCGCTGCCCTCGCGCCCCCCCCCCCCCCCCGCGAATCCTGGCCGCGCCGCCCTCCTGGCCGCAAGGGGTCGGGGGCGACGGCCCCAGGAGGCAGCTCGGAGACAAGAGCGCCGCGCTCGGTGAGCCGGGCTATGCGCGCGAAGCCCCGCGCACCGCGCCGCTCGCAGCCACGCGCTGCACAGCGCCGATGGTGAGGCGCCTCAGCGGGCGAGTACCGTTTAGTTTCTCATCGATTTGTGTTGCAGTCCTGGTTTCTGGGCCTTCGGACATTCGGTGTTGTGAGTGATTGCGGTTCATGTGTGTATGCATACATATTGTTATGTATACGCATATGTTGGTACGAATATTTCCACACGTTTCCATACATGTATGCACGCATGCATTTATGTGATGTATGTGTGTTTGTTTGTATGTCTGTCTGTCTGTCTGTCGGTCTGTAGGCATGTATGTCTGTATGTATGTATGTATGTATATATATATATATCTATATATATATATACATATATATATACATTCATATATATAGAGTGGCCTTCGGCCCATCCCGCCACCTTGCCTGGGTGGTGGTTTGGAGGCCTCTTGGATGTTCGTTTGGATATCGCGGGGGGGGGGGGGGGGGCGCTATTCGGAGGCAGTTGTGAGGCCTCTTGGGGGCCGTTCGGGGCCTCTTGGTGTTTTTGTGCGCCTCTCGGGGGCCTGTTGGGGCGAGCCTCCAGGGGGCCTTGTTGGTTCTCTTGGTCTTGGGGCGGAAGTCTCGGATTATCGTTTCGTTTTCCCCCTCTTGGGCCTCTCTCTGGGCCGTCTGGGGGCCCTCTTGGGTTATCTTGGGCGCCTCTTGGGCCGTTTGAGGGCCCTCCTGGGATTTTGTTGGGCCCCTCTTGGGAGTCTATGTCTAATGCCGTCTCGGGGCGGTTTTGGGCGCCTGTGCGGCCTTTTTGTAGCGTCGGAAGCCCGACAAGGCGAGAACGCGAGCACACAACAAAACGGCGAATCAATGATGCGTGCCTCATTTGGCCCCATTGGAAGTCTTCTTGGAGCGCTCTCGGGCCTCCCTTGGGGCCTCTGGGGCCGTCTTGGGGCCACAATGGGCGTCTTGGAGAGCTGGTGGGCTGCCTTGGAGGCCTCTGGAAGTTTCTCGGGCGTTTTCTGGTGCCTTCTTGGCCTGTCTTGGGGCCCTCTGGCTTCTGGAAAAGTCACGCGGGGCAGCCCGAGTACGCGCGTGAACGCTTAGGAGATCTGACAATTTTGGGCCCCAGCCCTGGGAATACTATAATCCCAGAGTCTTGGGTCCATAGGTCAGGACACATGGTCCGAGACATCCGCGCGGAGCTCAAAAGTTTATGTTTGTGCCGTCCTCGGTATCTCCAATGCTGATGGGCCTGTTTTCCCCACCACGAACCATAAGTTGGAGGGGGAGGGTCCTCCTCCTCCTCTTCGTCGTCCTCATCCTCCTCCTCGTCCTCCTCCTCTTCCTCCTTCCCTTCCCCCCTCCAACTTATTGTGGTGGTGGTGGACAACAGGCCCATCGAATTCCGCTGTTCCTTGGACCCCTCCCAGGCGTCCTGGCCCCGATGTTTTGGCCGCGGCTCCTCGTGGCCAGGGCTTCGAAGGCGAATCGAGCGGTGGCGACGATGGGCTTGTTTGCCAGCCTGGGACATACAGTGCCGTTTTTTTACATGCTCCTTGTGCGGATCATGTATTAAACATACAAGGATTTAGTATTAAAACCAACGATGAGTTCATACACAATTTGTTTCATAAACTAATCATGGATTAAAAAAAACATATGTTTTTTAAAACTTCCCATGTACTAAAAACCGCCCTGTACAGTGGAAGCCGAAGCTCCCAGAGTTTATGTTTGTGGCGTTGTTTCTTTTTCTTCTTCTTCCTCTTCTGCAGACATGGTCGCGCCGTGGCGAACATCACGACGCAAAGTGTTTTGCCAGCTTTCGGCCTTCAAGAGGCCCGCGCAGGGCCCCGGGCTCGCCAAAACAAGCCCGGGATGAAACCCTGGTCGTGGGGAAAGGGTTGGACTTCTGGGGACCTTGTACAGTGGATGCCCATGCCAAGAAACACCCTGCTTGCCTCCAGGGTGTCCTGGGTTTCTTGAGTTTCGATGGTTTTGCGATGGAAGGCGTGACGTTCCCACACCAAAAATCGATGGACGTCCTGGGGTCTCAGGATTGGGGTTCTGACCGAAGACTTTTCGTGGTCCAGCTCCAATTGCATCCCCACCCCTATGATTGGCAGCGCATGACCCCGATGGTTATCTTACGGATTCCCTCAGTTTCTGAGGGTGCATTCCTGAGATTGTCGTCGGCTCGAGGCTGGTTACGGTAGGTTCGTGTCGTGTCGACAGGCGGCGACCCCGCCAGCGGCGTTCAACGCGAACGCCGCGGGCGACCCAGAATCGTTCGGTGCGGAACGATTTGGACGTTCCGGAAACGGCCGATCGTTCAAGGTTAAAGGATCCCCGCGGTGGCAAAAACCAGAGCCGAAGCCGGCACGACACGAGCTTGACGTAGTGGTAGTGGCATCGCTAGATCTCAGGAGGGGACAAAAACACACAGACACAATGAATCGTCGATCCCCCAGGAAAATATATGGGAAGATATGGGAAGTGGGGGGGGAAGACGAAGACCGAGAAACTGTAGGAAAATATTGGGAATCCTGTCATTTGTGTGTATTTATTTGCGTGTGTGCCAGGGCCCCTTCACAGATCGTCTCCTCCTTCGATCTTCCGTTTTTGATACATGTTCCGGGTGCGGATCATGTATTAAAAATGCAGGGATTCAGTATTAAAAACAACGATGAGTTCATGCATACATTTAGGCATAAATTAATCACGGGTTAAATCCCATAGTTTTGAACATCCCATATATCAAAACTTGCCCTGTAGTGGCATCGCTGGATCGTCTCCTCCTGCGATCTCCCCGCGGACCGATCTCTCGTCCTCGGCCCGCCGCCCCCTTTTTGCAGTCTGGGGGCGGCGCGCCGCTTCGGCTGCCGCCGAGCGGCGGCGCTCGTCTTCGGGGGTGGACAGACCTCCTCCTCCTCCATCCTCCTCCTCCTCCTCCTCGTCCATCCTCCTCCTCCTCGTCCATCCTCCTCCTCCTCCTCCTCCTCCTCCTGCTGTCAGGGGTGGACAGACCTCCTACCCTGACACGTCGATTAAGGAATTGGCCGTTTTCGGTTCGCGAGAGGGCGTCGCGGCCGTCATTTTTGCGGGTCCAGGTCCGTCGGTTTCGGTCCCAGGCCGTTTTCATCAAGTGGAGGTGTGCTAAAGGGAGGTGTGTCCACGGCCGACGTCTGTTCGCCGCGGCAGGCAGAGGACGCCGCTCGACTACGTCCACGAGCAGTCGGTGCGGGGCTCTGTCGTGAGGAGGGCGGACCAGAGGAGGCAAGCATACAGACCAGAGGAGGCAAGCATACACATGTATAGCTGCATACATCAATCATAATTCCATCGATCTATCTATAGTCTATACCTATACATAGACGTGTACACGTGTCAGTTGAAACGGTTTGTGCCCGAAGAAGAAGAAGAAGTTTGACCGAAGATGTTGGAAGTTGTGTCCGAACACACGGTGCGACCGAATTTGACATCAGATAGCGATGTCGCGCCAAAACAAACGGTCACATTCAGACACTTTCAGAGAAATACTGTTAAAACGTCGCATTCGAGCACGTTCCGAAGAAATCGTGCGCCAGTTTCGGTCACACTCGGAATCGCGTTGGTGCAGACGTTACCTTTCCCTCGTTGCCACGGTTTCAGTCGCCTCGGAACTCTGGTCAGAACGCACCCCTGAACAGGTCCAGGAAGTGGCGTATAGGAATGCGTCTTGCGATCAATTTCTCAGAGGAGGAGAGTGTACCGATACCGCTATCATTTCCTCGTTTTCGCCATTTCGGGCCTCCTGGGAGGCTCTCGTCGCCACGGCTGGATTCGCTGGTCAGACCGCATCTCCTGGACAGAACCTGGGAGTAGCGGTGTCGGCAGCTGTCGCCCTGTTCAGGGCCCCGACGAGGATTCGTGATCGATTTGGCGTGTGAAGAAGAGTCCGAGGCGTTGATCCGGCAGGTGAGTTTGAGAGATGTCGCTTGCCACGCCAGCAACACGTTGACTCCGTTTGGTTCCCCCTTATCTTCCCTTTGCACTCTGTCCCGCCCCTTCTCCCCGTGTTTCCCCTCCTTCCTCATCTCCCTTGATGCCCCATCTCCCTTTCTTGCTCATCCCCCTTTTCGTAGCTTCCCCAGTCCTTCCTCGTCTCTCCTCTCCATCTCGCTCCACGTCTCTCTTCCCCCTCTCCTTCCCTTCACCATCTTCACAAGCATCAGCGGCCCGAGGCCTGTGCGTCCAATAGGTTGGGCACGAAGATGGGACCCAAATCGCGTCCTGTGCCTTACCGAGGCGCTTGGGAAGGGGCTCCGATGTCTGCCGCGGTTTGTGCTGCAGCAGTTGTAGGGTGGCGAATGGCGCGAATTCGTTGAGGACATCTACGCGGTGACCGACTTCCTGTCCATCATTTCCTGGTGCGGTTCGTGTTCCCCCCGGGCAGGCGTTCAAGTCCTAGCAGCTGTACGTTCTGGTCGGTGCCATCCGTTGTTATGTGGCAAGCGTTCAATCCAGATTTGTTTCCACCGGTGTGCAATTGTGTATGATGCCTTTGGGATGGGATACCCGTGCGGGCATTCCGGCAGGTTGGTTGTGTGTTATTCTTACTGTTGTTCAATGCGTACAGGTATTTCGTGTTTGTTGTTTCGCGCTTTCAGGTTTACACCACGCGAAAAAGGTGCCCAGGAGCATGAGTCGCAGACAATAAGGTGAATGCATGTTCATATTTTCGATGACACGTGCTAATTTCAATGTTTGAGGCCGCTCTCACATCTTCAAAGTTTGATGATGACTCCCAGCGTGGTGGTTACGTGTTTCCTTTGTTGGGGCAGTGATTGCTTCACGCGCTCGTTCTGAGTTGCGGCGTTCTGCAGCCGTGCTGTTCCGTTTCGTTAGCCCCAGTATGCGTGTTCGTGCCGCTTCTTGTCGCTTCGGCGCTCCACGAGGTCTGGACATGCATTCACGGTTTCTATACAGGTCGTTTGTGTTTTCTACCACGCTTGAGTCCCATCACCACAGCTCTGGCTTCGTCGATTGTCAACATATTATCGCTTTAATGATGGCCATTTGGTTTGTCGCCTGCGACGGGCGCGTGGGTATTTTCGCTGGGTTGGTATTCGTGGAACGCGGTGGGCGCGCAGTGCTGGTGCGCGTGTGAAGGCTTTTTGTGTTGTGCAGTCATATTATGTTTGTGTATATCTGTATATGTATATTGTATACACATCTTGATGTGTATGTATACATACGTACATATCCGTAAGGGCTTCGCCCCCTGCCGCCGGCCCCCTCTCTCGGATAATGGGCAATGCAAGAGCGAAAGTATGAGGCCTTGGCGCCGCCGTGAAGCAGCGGCGGATTTCACGCGAAGACGGTGAGTAATCGGCAAGACAAATTGAAATTCTGGTGATCTTGTTGAATTCGGTATCATGTTTCGAGGGTTTCATGGCTTCGGATACGCGAATCGCGCGTAGTTTACGAGGGTGTACGGCTTCAGGCTCGCACATATAGCGTAATGTACGCAGGTGTATGGCTTCAGAGACGCGAATCTTGAGTAAGTTACGAGGGTGTATGGCTTCGGGCACGCGATTCTTGAGTAACTTACAAGGGTTTATGGCTTCGCCGTCGCAAGTATTGCATCATTTACACAGGTGTATGGCTTCGGAGACGCGAACATCGCGTAATTTACGACCGTTTATGTTTTCGGGGACGCGACTACCGCGTGATTTACGAGCATTTGTGGCCTCGGGGACGCAAGTATTGCAATTTACAAAGGTTGATGGCTTCGGGGACACGACCATGGCGTATGTTGTGAGGGTTTGTAGCTTCGGGGCGTGACGATTGTATAATTCATGAGGGTCTATGGCCTGGGGGACGCGAGTGTTGCGTAATTTACTAAGGTTTATGGCCTCGGGAGCGCGAATGTTATGTATTTTTATGTGTCCCGCGCCCCCCCCAAGAAGTCAGAGCACCCGATTCGGGCGTGGTGACGAGGTTCCTTCTCGGCTCTCCCCTCCTCGCGCGGTCCATCAACAAGGAACAATAAGCAGAAACAAAAAACGAGACCTGTAACAGCGGAGTTTGGAAGCTGGAATTGGCGCAGGGAACAGCAAACCTCGGGCCTACATCAGAGGAGCATGAAGTATTGATATTGATAGTTTTCAAGATTTCCAGGTTTTCCTGTTCTTCCGCGCGGGCTACAGGGACGAATGGTCGAGCGCATTCCGTCGCGCAGGTTCTTTGCGCGATGTGCGCGGTGCATTTTTCGCGCCCCGGAGCGCCCTCGGAGATGCCAAGCTGTATGCTGCGTTGCTCTTGGGGAGACCGCGAGTCGCAGCTGCCGTGGCGCTGTTTTCGAGGTGACCCCTTCGAGTGCTGTTCGCGGGCGCAACGCGCGGCGCGCGCTGCGCCCCATCGCGCGCGGCGCGGTGCGTGAATCAGCCGGCCGCGCCCGTCGGACCGACCGCCCGGAAATTCTTTCTGGATTGTAGAATGTTTCAGAAAACGTTCCCGTTTTTCTGGCGCAAGCGGTTCCGGAATTTGTCAAAAAGAAGCCCGGAAGTTTTCAAAAACCAGTTTTGAGGGGTGGAATGCGCCCGCCGCGCAGGACATCTGAATAATTCTGAAATCCGGAATTTTTCAAAATGCGTGTTGGAGTTTTTCAAAATCGACCTCGGATTTTTTCACGATCGATTCTGCTATTATTCAAAAAGTAGGCCGGACATGCTCAACGACGTTCCGGGAACTTTTCAAATTTACCTTTGGAGAATTTTCCGGAGTCGCGCGTGATTCGCCACGCCAGGTTTTTGGAAATCCGCTGAGGCGCGCGGTGCGCGGCGGCGGGCGATGGGACGGCGCGCCGCTTTCCCCCCCGCGCTCGGCAACGAAAAGGGGGATCATCAAGTGCCAAATAGCCCCCTACGGCCGACCACTCGATTGCGAATGGGTGACCGACCAGCGGCGCCAGCCAGAGTACACAATACTCGACGCAAAATGGACCCCGAACGAAAGTTGTTAGAATTCCCGGAATCCCTGGAACGTATCAGTAGCACACTGTGTCAATATATTCTTCTCGTCCTACTACAGCCTGGTGGCCCCACAAGGGGCAGGCGGATACAGATATACATACACATATATGTATATATATACACACATACACGCATGCATATCTATATGTATGTATGCATGTATGTATGTATGTATGCATGTGTGTATGTATGTATGTATGTATGTATGCATGTATGTATGCATGTATGCATATATACATACATTTACATGCGCCCATGTCTCTCTCTCTCTATATATATGTGTGTGTGCATATCGATATGTGTGTCGTGTGACCTCTTGGTGGGCAAGCGCGAAGGCCTCAAGGTGTTCATGCGGGCCGGGTAGGCACACATGTCATCGGGTCCATTCTCATTCCCATTATCCTCTCAGCCACATGTTCCGTTTCTGTGTCTTCTGCGGCTCACTGTTGTTTGGCCACCCTCCCCCCTCCTCTCATTTTCCTCCCCCCCTCCTCCTCCTCCTCCTCCCCTCCCCCTCCTCCTCCTCCTCCTCCTCCTCCTCCTTCTCCTCCTCCTCCTCTCCTCCTCCTCCTCCTCCTCCTCCTCCCTCCTCCTCCTCCTCCTCCTCCTCCTCATTGTCCTCCCCCCCCTCCTCCTCCTCCTCCTCCTCCCCCTCCTCCTCCTCATCCTCCTCCTCCTCCTCCTCCTCCTCTCCTCCTCCTCACCTCCTTTCCCTCCTCCTCCTCCTCCTCCTCCTCCTCCCCCTGCTCCCCTTACCTCGCCTTCGCATCCCTCTGTCTGTACCTCCCCGCCGAGGTGGACTCCGGCAGCCCCGCCATACGGCAGCTGATGGACGAGGTGACGGAGAGGCCCACCGTGGCGGTGGCCCCCCACGCCCGCCCGCCCCCGCAGGAGGATCGGGCCGAGCGAGAGGGGGAGGAGGAGGAGGAGGAGGAGGAGGAGGAGGAGGAGGAGGAGGAGGAGGAGGAGGAGGAGGAGGAGGAGGAGGAGGAGGAGGAGGAGAGGGAGGAGGAGGAGGAGAGGAGGAGGAGGGAGGAGGAGGAGGAGGGGGAGGAGGAGGAGGAGGAGGAGGAGGAGGGCAAAGGGGGGGGGTCGAAATCTGCTGCATGCAGCTGGTTTCGGCCCCGCCACCGGGCCCATTCCTCGATACATGAGCGCCTGCCGGCGCCGGGAGGCGCTGGGAAAATCAGCTGCGTGGGCTGACTCTCTACCCTCCTCTTTGCTATCCCCCCATTTTGTTCCCCCCGAGAGGAGGGGAGGGAGGATGGTGGACGGAGGATCGATTTGGATTTCCCCCAGACATGGTTCGAAGAAGAAGAAGAAGAAGAAGCAACGCCATCACCATAAACTTTGGGCGCTCCGCGCGGAGAGCCAAAGTTTCTGTTTGTGGCGTTTTTTCTTATTCTTCTTCTGCAGACATGGTCGCCCTCGCAGGGCCCTGGGCTCGCCAAAACAAGCCCAGGATGAAGCTCTGGTCGTGGGGAAAGGGTTGGACCTCTGGGGACCCTGTACAGTGGAGGCCCCTGCCAAGAAACGCCCTGCTTGCCTCCAGGGTGCCCTGGGCTTCTTGGGTTTCGATGGTTCTGCTGTGGAAGGCGTGACGCTCCCACACCAAAAATCGATGGACGCCCTGGGGTCTCAGGGTTGGGGTTCTTGTGGAAGGTTTCTTGTGGACTGGCCCATATTGCATTGACAAGAGACTCGGGAGGCCCCCCGTCCTTTTCGAGAGAATCGGGGAGGCCCCTCGTCGCCACGGACAGATCCGTCTGCAGTGTTTGCCAGAATGCTCGGGGGAGCGTAAGACCCGGGTTTGCCAGGACTCGGGTTCGCCATTGTTTTTTGACGACCGCGCCTCGGATTTTGACGAGGAGGAGTTTCGCGGGATGTCTGCAGCGGGAGGCCTCGTCAAAATGCAGGCTCGGCCTCGTCATTTTTTTGACGACCTCGTCGGGGATTTCCGAGTCCCCTGTATCCAGGTCTTACGTCCCCCTGAAATGCGCACCCGGGCAGGTCCCAGGGCAGATTATGTGAGGGGGGAGGTGAGGGAGGAGTAACCTGCCGAATATTTCTCTGAACCACAGGGGCAGTTGAGACAGCCAAGCTGACAGCCCCATCCAGCTGCAGGGCAAACTCTGCTCGGCACAGCGCCGCACCCCGGCGGCTGTCCCCGCCTACCTGAGCCGGTCGCACACCGATCCGGAGAGGAAAAAACACACAGACACAATTAATCGACGATTCCCAGGAAAATATGGGGAAATATGGGAAGTGGGGGGGAAGACAAAAACCTAGAAAATATATGAAAATATTAGGAATATTTTTATTTGTGTGTATTCATTTGTGTGTCCTGGGGCCCCTTCAACCGAGGACTCTACGACCGATGGTTCGTGTTGTTCCATACGGGGCCCCAGAAGTCCGACCGCTTCCGCAGGGTCATGTTTGCATCCCGAGTCGTTTCTCGGCGGTCCCAGGTCCTGGCGAGGGCATCTGGAGGCCGAAAAAGGCCAAGGCAAGCAGTGGCGAGGCGTCGTAGCTCGCCTACAGGCCTACCAAAGAATGTTCCTCCTCCTCCTCACACGCTTCGTGGCCCCATAGGGAGCTCAACCGAAGGCCCCAGTGGCTGCGCCCGCATGCGGTTCCACCCCCCATTCTGGCACACCCCTCGCACGCTTCGTGGCCCCATAGGGAGCTCCACCGAAGGCCCCAGTGGCTGCGCCCGCATGCGGTTCCACCCCCCATTCTGGCACACCCCTCACACGTTTCGTGGCCCCATAGGGAGCTCCACCGAAGGCCCCAGTGGCTGCGCCCGCATGCGGTTCCACCCCCCATTCTGGCACACCCCTCACACGTTTCGTGGCCCCATAGGGAGCTCCACCGAAGGCCCCAGTGGCTGCGCCCGCATGCGGTTCCACCCCCCATTCTGGCACACCCCTCACACGCTTCGTGGCCCCATAGGGAGCTCCACCGAAGGCCCCAGTGGCTGCGCCCGCATGCGGTTCCACCCCCCATTCTGGCACACCCCTCACACGTTTCGTGGCCCCATAGGGAGCTCCACCGAAGGCCCCAGTGGCTGCGCCCGCATGCGGTTCCACCCCCCATTCTGGCACACCCCTCACACGTTTCGTGGCCCCATAGGGAGCTCCACCGAAGGCCCCAGTGGCTGCGCCGCATGCGGCCCCCCCATTTCTGGCACACCCCTCACACGTTTCGTGGCCCCATAGGGAGCTCCACCGAAGGCCCCAGTGGCTGCGCCCGCATGCGGTTCCACCCCCCATTCTGGCACACCCCTCACACGTTTCGTGGCCCCATAGGGAGCTCCACCGAAGGCCCCAGTGGCTGCGCCCGCATGCGGTTCCACCCCCCCATTTTGGCACACCCCTCACACGTTTCGTGGCCCCATAGGGAGCTCCACCGAAGGCCCCAGTGGCTGCGCCCGCATGCGGTTCCACCCCCCATTCTGGCACACCCCTCACACGTTTCGTGGCCCCATAGGGAGCTCCACCGAAGGCCCCAGTGGCTGCGCCCGCATGCGGTTCCACCCCCCATTCTGGCACACCCCTCACACGTTTCGTGGCCCCATAGGGAGCTCCACCGAAGGCCCCAGTGGCTGCGCCCGCATGCGGTTCCACCCCCCATTCTGGCACACCCCTCACACGTTTCGTGGCCCCATAGGGAGCTCCACCGAACGCTCCAGTGGCTGCGCTCGCATGCGGTTCCGCCCCCCATTTCGGCACACCCCTCACACGCTTCGTGGGTGGCTCCATGGGGAGCTCCACCGAACGCCCCAATGGCTGCGCTCGCATGTGGTCCCCCCCCCATTTCGGCACACCCATCACACGGTTCGTGGCCCCATAGAGAGCTCCACCGAAGGCCCCAGTGGCTGCGCTCGCATGCGGTTCCACACCCTTTTTCGGCACGCCTTTCACACGTCTCGTGGCCCCATAGGGAGCTTCACCGAACGCCGCATTGGCTGCGCTCGCATGCGGTTCCACCTCCCATTTCGGCACACCCCTCACACGTTTCGTGGCTCCATAAGGAGCTCCACCGAAGGCCCCAGTGGCTGCGCCCGCATGCGGTTCCGCACCCCGTTCTGGCACACCCCTCGCACGTTTCGTGGCCCCATAAGGGGGCTCCACCAAAGGTCCCAGTGGCACTGCCCGCTTGCGTCCGCCACCACCCAGCACAGCCCTTTCTCGTTGCGCTTCACCCACCCAGAACAGCGCTTCGTAGCCCTATAGGGAGCTCCACCAAAGGTCCAAGCGGCACCGCCCGCATGCGTCCGCCACCACCTTGCGCAGCCCTGGCTCCCTGCCTGCGTTTCACCCACCCAGTACGGCGTTTCGTGGCCCCATAGGGAGCTCCACCGAAGGTCCCAGTGGCACCGCTCGCATGCGTCCGCCACCACGCAGCACAGCCCTTGCTGACCGCGTCTCACCCACCCAGTACAGCGCTTCGTGGCCCCATAGGGAGCTCCACCGAGGGTACCAGACCACCCAGCACAATTGCGGCATTCACAACTGCATATGGTTGGGTCCTTTGCCAGGCTAATTTTTCTCCGTCTTTGCCCGTGCACGCCCACGTCCAAGGCTGCGGGCGCGGCGCCGCACGGAGTCCCCGCGACGCGCGCTGGTCGCCCCGAAGGGGTCCCGGCGACGCGCGCGGGTCGTCCGCTGCGCGGGGCAGAGAGAGCGAGCAGGTTGGCTCCCGCCCGGGATGCGCGGCCCGAAAGCGGCATCAATACGTCGAATACAACCAAAAAGCTCCCGAAATCGGAAGTCGCCGCCAAACGGACTCACCCATGGGGCCGCCATGCGAGTTCCACCACGGCGACCTTAGGTGGAACTCCCTGTGGGGCCACGAGACGCTGTACAGGGGGTGGATGACGCATGCGGGCGGTCCCACTGGGGTCTTCGGTGGAGCCCTTGAAGGGGCCACGAAGCGCTGTACTGGGGGTGGATGATGCATGCGGGCGGTCCCACTGGGGCCGTCGGAACTCTATGGGGCCACGAATCGCTGTAGTGGGTGGTGGGTGACGCATGCGGGCGGTCCCGCTGGAGCTTTCGGTGGATCTCCCTATAGGGCCACGAAATGTTGTACTGGGTGGTGGATGGCTCATGCGGGCGGTCCCACTGGGGCCTTCGGTGGAGCTCGCTATGGGGCCACGAAACGCTCTACTGGGTGGTGAATGACGCACGCGGGCGGTCCCACTGGGTCTTTCGGTGGAGCTCCCTGTGGGGTCACGAAGCGTTGTGCTGGGTGGTGGATCGCGCATGCGGGCGGTCCCACAGGGGCCTTCGGTGGAGATCCCAATGGGGTCACGAAGCGCTGTACAGGGGGGGGGGATGACGCATGCGGGCGGCCCCATTGGGGCCTTCGGTGGAGCCCTCTATGGGGCCACGAGACGCTGTACTAGGTGGTGGATGACGAATACGGGCGGTCCCACTGGGGCCTTCGGTGGAGCTCCCTATGGGGTGACGAAGCGCTATGCTGGGTGGTGGATCGCGCATGCGGGCGGTCCCACTGGAGCCTTCGGTGGAGCTCCCTATGGAACCACGAAATGCTGTGCTGGGTGGTGGATGATGCACGCGGGCGGTCCCATTGGGGCCTTCGGTGGAGCTCCCTGTGGTGGGTGGTGGATGACGCATGCGGGCGGTCCTTCTGGGGCCTTCGGTGGAGCCCCTTATGGGAGCACGGAACGGTGCACCTGGGCGGTGGATGACGCATGCGGGCGGTCTCACTGGAGCTTTCGGTGGAGTTCCCTATGGGGCCACGAAGCGCTGTGCTGGTTGGTGGATCGCGCATGCGGAGCCTTCGGTGGAGTTCCTCATGGGGCCACAACACGCTGTACGGGGTGGGTGAAACGC